ACTGCTGTTAGGGCACATATGATTGGCGTCGTACGAACCCGGCATTGGAAGCGAGGCTTGGGTCTAGTATCAGAGGAGGACATCAAGAAGACATTGAAACCTATCCCGTCCCTGGTGGATGACCTGGTGGGCTTCTCTGTTCCTGTGAAGGACAGGGTTAACAATTGCGAGATCACCAAGGAGGCCTTTGACTGCCACCTGGGAGACGACATGGAGACTATCGCGCGGGGACTTTTCTCGGCCTTGCGGGCCATGGATGAAATGGAGGTGGATGTCATCTACGTGGAGGGTGTTTTGGATTCCCAGGGAGACCTCGCGGCTGCCGTGATGAACCGTCTCAGGAAGGCTGCTGGGACTGTGCTGAAATTATAATACTTGAAAATAGACTATGATAGTTGGTTTCGGATTTTACTCTCTTCAGCCTGTGAATCTGGAGTTTGACTGGTGACATATAATGGACTTACGAATTTGCATGATTCAGCAGAGCTCAGGAGCCAAGATGTATATACAGGTACCTTATCTAGTCTTCTGGCAGACGGTTCGTCTTCTTACACAGGCAAGCTTTTTGCTGTTCAGATCCATGGAAAAGCTCAAGGCCTGTTCCGACGATTTCTTCCGCTGTCGGCAACCTCCGAGATTCGTGATAGTGAACAACCCCTGGAGATTTCTAGCTAAGCAGTATCTAGCTCCACTTATCTGATTGCACATTGCTTGATATAACTCTAATTCTTGCAGAATACTGTCTTATCAGTCAAATCTTCTGCAGACTGAAGGATAACGATCGTTCTCAATGAGTCAATGCAGCCGATCCAATTCCTCGGTGAAAGCCCGACGGGTCTCCATCGATCATTTGACCAGCATTGACGGAAGAATCCGTCGATGCTAGTATTCATAAAGCAACTTAGAGGAATGACCACTTGAGTGGTTGTCGCTCTTTCGACCAGTCCGAGTTCCTGCTTGACGCGTTGTTCTCGCTTTCCTCGCTCCAGATACCCAGCATCAGACAATGTGTCAATCACCACTGCACGATTTCCTGCATGGCCTGCCCAAGTGCGAGCACCATGTCCACCTCGAAGGCTGCCTCACGCCGGAATTGATTTTCCAGCTAGCAGAGAGGAACAACGTGCAACTACCGGACCCAGCAACCCACCCAGCCTACGCCTCCGTCGAAGCGCTCACAGCCCGCTACGGCGAGTTCACTTCGCTAGACGACTTCCTCGACTTCTACTTCAAGGGTATGTCCGTGCTGCACCACGAGTCCGACTTCGCAGACCTCGCCTGGGCGTATTTCCAGAAAGCACACGCGGACGGCGTCCACCACGCCGAGGTCTTCTTCGACCCGCAGGTCCACCAGCACCGCGGCGTCGACTACGAGACCGTCGTCTCCGGCTTCGTGGCCGGGTGCCAGCGAGCAGAAAGGGAACTAGGTCTGTCGACCCGGCTGATTCTGTGCTTTGTGCGTCATTTGCCTGTAAAGTCTGCGGCCAAGCTGTATGAGCAGGCGCTTGCCAGCAACCATTTCCAGAGTGGGATTGTGCATGGTCTCGGCTGGTCATCGACGGAGGTTGGGCCGCCGAAGGACATGTTCCGCGAGATTTACGCTTCCGCGTCTGAGATGGATATCCGCTTGACGGCGCATGCGGGGGAGGAGGGCGATCCGACGTATATCAGTACCGCGTTGGAGCTTGGAGCCCAGCGTATCGACCATGGGATTCGGCTGGTCGAGGATCCGGAGCTGATGGCGAGGGTGGCTCGCGAGGGAATCATGTTGACCGTCTGTCCGTTGTCGAATGTGCGACTTCGGTGCGTTGAGTCGATGGAAAAAGTGCCCATTCGGAAGTTTCTGGATGCCGGTGTCAAGTTCTCGATCAACAGTGACGATCCGGCTTACTTTGGAGGTTATATTCTCGATAACTACTGCGCTGTTCAGGAGGCGTTTCAGCTTTCCGTCCAGGAGTGGAGGGTCATTGCTGAGAATAGTGTCAATGAGAGCTGGATTGATGAAGCGAGGAAAACTGAGCTACTCAAGCGCATTGATGATCATGTACAGAAGCATACTGTCGTTGCTTGATGGTTTATCAGGACATGACCTATGGCAGTGTTGATGTTGAGATGCATAAGTGTACAGATGTGCGTATATAGGGGGTCTATTAGGTGAATACACCTGTTCATATCAATTGATGCAGTGAAATGTGACATGTTCATGCTATACCTGAGCCAGACTTAAGATAGCTAAAATAATAGGTCTATTCAATGAAACGTCTGTTCGATGTTGTATGAACCAGGCCTCGCTGTCACCTGATGTCCTGGACTCCTGGTAGCAAACAATAATGCCGCTAAGCAAAAGTGACTGGGCAATATCTTCGGCAGCAGTCATCTACCACTCCTCACTACATAACTGCTCACAACTGTAGCAGATGACCTTGAAAGCCGTCGATTTGGCCAGGCAAGCAGCCAGAAAGACACTCTCCCAGTCTGTCCGCTGTGTTCAACCTCTACTGCTCGTCCCAAGATCCCCGCTTTCTACAGTTTATCATCTCACAAGTCTCCCCACAACCAAAACAGCAGTCATACTCCCATTTTGTTACTACAAGAGAACAATGTCTACGACAATCCCCGACCGCTACAAGCTCATCTTCTTTGTGCCACACTCGCACCTTGAACCGTGCAAAGAGGCCATCTTTGCTACCGGAGCCGGTACCTTTCCCGGAGGCAAGTACAGCAAGTGCGCGTTCCAGATGCCCGGACAAGGACAGTTTCTGCCTGCTGGGGATGCGAATCCTGCCATCGGATCGGTGGGACAGTTGGAGACTGTCGAGGAAATGAAGGTGGAGATTATGTGCTTGGGGCGATCGATCATGCTGCAGGCGGTCGAGGCGTTGAAGAAGGCTCATCCGTATGAAGAGGTGGCGTATGAGGTTTATAAGATGGAGAATGTTTGAATTGCTCGTCGGGGTTGTTACTTCTGGGGCTTGTGGAGGTTGCTGCAGTTTATGATCTATGATAGCGTTTTGTACCTGCCTGATAGTTGAGACTGAATGGAGAATCCATCATTCGCGAGCAGTTGTGCTGATGGTATTTTTGGAGCATTTTCCAAGATATCGAGGAAATGCACCAATGAATTTACCATCTTCGAGAACAATGTATCATCAAGTACGCAGTTGATGTTGCGTTCAATCCTGAAGTCGTTCAGTGATATAAAGGCGGGAGTAATCTCTTAGTGCTGATTGGCTGATCGCAGCACCCGCAAAACGCCTCTTCGACTCCGTTCAATTCATCTGCAACTCCGGCCATCATCGCGACAGCCTCAATTCGTCCTCCTTTCCTTTATCCCCCTCTTATTCCTCTCCTTCGCCGGCAATGGCTTCCAAGTTCTTCCCCGCTATCCCGCGGGTTGGCCGCCAATTGTTCCACCAGATCCCCAAGTCCCAGTGCAGACCGTTCTCGGCTGGCCCGCAACGTTACAGCGATACACTTGCCGTGGTACGTATGAAGAGTATCAGCTACAGCGGCATATTCGGATATCGTTCGTCGTTGGAATGTTTAAATGACAGTGGCTGACTGGACCGGTTCGGAGTTCTAGCATCGCAACAAGCCTCACAACAACCCCTCTATCCCTTTCAAGTTCTCCGAGCAGAATATGAGACTCGTCGATGAGATCCTCAAACGCTACCCTCCCCAGTACAAGAAGGGTGCCGTCATGCCCCTCTTGGACTTGGGCCAGCGCCAGCACGGCTACACCAGCATTAGCGTCATGAACGAGGTCGCCCGTATCCTTGAGATGCCTCCAATGCGCGTTTACGAAGTCGCAACCTTCTACACCATGTACAACCGTGAGCCGGTTGGAAAGTACTTTGTTCAGCTTTGCACCACGGTATGGATACCGCCATCAGTTCATCACGATGAAATTGGTAGCTTGGGACGGATTCGCTAACGCAAACGGTTGATTAGACACCCTGCCAGCTCGGTGGCTGCGGTAGCACCAAGATCCTCGAAGCCATCCAAGAGCACCTGGGCATCACTGCCGGACACACAACAGAAGACGGCCTTTTCACTTTCATCGAGGTCGAGTGCCTGGGTGCCTGTGTCAATGCCCCCATGGTCCAGATCAACGACGACTACTACGAAGATCTCACACCCGAGTCGATCAAGACCCTTCTCACAGCCCTGAAGGAGTCCGCTACGGCCGCTGAGAGCGGCAAGGAAGTCAAGGTGCCCGCGCCAGGACCTCTGAGCGGAAGACAGACCTGCGAGAACAGTGCCGGGCTCACGAACCTGCAAAATCCTGTGTGGGACCCCGAGACGATGATGCGGAAGGACGGTGCCTTGGATCAGCAGGCTTAATTATGTTCCGTATTATAATCCTCGGTTTCACAATTCAAAATCTTCTGTTGCAGCTTGATTTCCTTTTCCTTTCCAGTGAGATCTTCGCAGTCTTTGATGAGAGGGATTGTGAGGCATCTTGATACTGCATGCTTTCTAGATATCTACCATGTATAGTACGTTAGTCTGAAGTTTCTTTGCCTGGCGGTAGACAGACATGATGGAAGATCATCTACCATAGATGTTTGCTTAACAATCCCAACGAAGCTCCGTTTTCTAGTCATGTTCGTCCAAATTCCTGATTACCTCTCCATTTAAGTAAATCCAGTAAGCACTCGATACGGTAGCAAATATCGATTCGCTGAGTCTACTTGAGTGATGAGGACTGCGGGTTGACCCAGTTACGGTACTTTTGTATGTTTGGTCAGTGTTTGCCCAGTGGGGAAGGAATATCTATCTCCAGGAAGCTCTCTCTCAGATCTACTCCGTACCTTAACCACCTCAACTAACCGACCCCTACAACGCGTTGTAGGGGTCGGTTATTCCAAATTTCGGACAACCTTCATAATATCACATTGAACTTCGAGAGAACTGTCTAATCATACATTTATCTCATCACTGACACAACGCTGACTCATACAAAAGTAAATAAGGGTCATCAAGCACCTCAGTCGTTCTCAAAAGAAGTTATCCACAACCAAGGCGGGTCCCTGGCAGCTAAATGCTTCTCCATCAAGACATTCATCATCGTTCACCAAAACAGCCTGACCGTCTCGCTCAACCACGATCTTTCCACGTCGCTCCTGAAAAATGTTGACGTCGATTGTTCTCTTCGTCAGCAGATGGTAGACGTGGACGCGCCTCGTCTGACCGTAGCGAAGGGCGCGACCAATTGCCTGTGTCATCGAGGAATCATAATCGTACTGCGTCTGCGCGAGCATAGGCGAGAGGAAGATGACATGATTTGTGCACTGCAGGTTTCTGTCAAGAATGTTAGATGAGAAAGAAGGGAAAGAAAGAGACAGGGGAAGGTCACTCACAATCCAGCAGCCGTCTCGCTACCCAGATTCAGTATCACGACTTTTTCGTTACCCTTCTTAAATTCTTCGATCTTCTTGGTGTCACGGGCGGTTATCACTGTGTGAGTGATTTTCGCCAAATCGAATGCTTTGGAAGCAACATCAATGAGTTCATCGAACTGGATGAAAAGGATCGCTCGTTCCTGGTTGGGAATTCTTCTGACAATCTCGACCAATTTGTCCATCTTGCTTCCTCCATACTGAGTGTTTCGGTCCCCTTCGAGACCGAGTGAGGCAGCTCTGATCACGTTAAATTTGGTACCCGAGCCACGGCAGTTGTCGACGGCGCATTCTTCAAACTGGACAGTCTTCGAAACGCACTCCTTACACAGTGCATGACCGCAGGATCCAAGAACACTTAAGTCACTGCGCGACTCTACTTCTTCGCAGCAGTCGCACTCAGGTGTTACCGGGTTAGTTTGCAGCATCCGCACGGTCCTGAGAAACCTCAGAGCTCTTTCACGCAGAACCCACTCCGCCATTATGCTCCGCAAGATGGATGTAACCTCATCCATACAGGGCTCGAAATCATTGAATTGCGTCGGCTTGAATGGCATTTCGCTGCTTTGATCTCTCTCAACCTCAACGCGCTTTGTCTTCTTTGCCCGGCTTTTCTGTGCTGCCTTGCCGGCCACACGTTTTGCTTTCTTGCGGGGACCCTGAAGTTTGTTGTCCACTTCCGCCATCTTGTCGCTCTCAACGCTCCCTGTATCTAGTCCCTGCGAGACGTTCATTCCAGGTTCGGCTTCCTCTGGGCTCTTCGCTTTCTCCGGGCTGGGCTCCTCTTCTTCCGGGCTGTCTGCTTTCTCCGGACTGGATCTCTTTTCTACAGGATCGGCGAAGAAAAGTCTCCAGTCGTCGGAATGCGATGCTTGCATAGCAGATTTGAAATGCAGAATGGCTGCAGTAGTCACTGCCTCGTCACCAAATTGATGCTTGATGATACCCTCGGCGAATTTAAGGAATCCCTCATATCCCAGATCGCATCCGAAATAGAGCCAGGCCGCCAATTTCATATTACTCAAAAATTCGGCTTGAAGATTAGCCAGTTGGTTCTCTCGAGTTGCAATCAAAGAACTGCAGGTAATGACTTCTGGTTTCCCCTCGTCCCAGCGTCCTTTCAGCGCCAATGAGGAACAGCACTTGAGCAGAGCTTCTTCCGGTGACATACTGCTGCTGATTATTTCATCCAGTCGTTCGTTCTGATCATTTTTGAATCGTCCGCGCTTGCTTCGACGCAGCTGCTTGTTGTGCGTCATTATCTGCTTGTACAACTCGAGGTAGATTGCACATTCAGCCGGGGACTGGTCAATCAGAATAAGGTGCTCCGAATGAGGAATCTCATCAATATCTGCGATATTTCGGCGTGCAAACTGATCTAGAAACCTTTGAGCAACCTCATGGCGGTTGCGATGCCATGCCTCGCTGCTCGGAGCCCGCCAGGACTGAAAAACTTCTGCATCTGACCTGTTTTTTCGCAGAACCTTCAAACGAGTGTTCTGGGACAAAGTATTCTCATCATCGACTCCCAAATGGATTCCCAAAAAAGGAGCGATGGTTTTGACATCGGCAAAATCGTTCAACGGTGGTGTACCTGAGAGAATCCACTTCGAACGAGCCCGCAGGGCCAGAAGGGGCGCGAGTCGCTCATTACCGGCATACGTGAATTCGTCGATGACAATACGGTTGAAGAGGAACGCGTGCAGGAGAGGAGTCTTGACCGTGTACCACTGTTGGTTTCTTTTATTTCTGATGATGTTGAATTCTTTTCGGTCGTCCCACGTCTTTTTTTCCTTTTCAGTGCTTGACTGGTCCCGCTTTCTCTTTCTGCTCGAGCGGTCTTTGCAAGGTCCTGCCTTCGTTTGATTATTGCTCTCCGTTGAAGACTCCTCGTCTGTAGTATCTTCCTCGGCCTTTGTTTGATTATTGCTCTCCGTTGAAGACTCCTCGTATGCAGTATCTTCGTCGGAGTAGGACTCGTCAGGCGTATGCGTGGCGTCCGCTCTTGCGGCGTCGGCCTGGAGCTCCATGAACTGCTCTACCTTGGCCCGGACAGCCTCGGGGTCTCCGTCACCATCCGCATTCGGCTCCTCTGCGTCAGACAAATCGGCGTACTGCATGCCAACATCCCGCTTGCTCTCATTCGTCTCATGTGCTGCCGCATACTGCTTCCCTCTAAGCCGTTTTGACGGGGTGTAGGTGCGGTTTCCATGAGTGGCTTTAACCACCTGACGCTTGTTGCGCAGAGATTCCAGGAATTCACGGGGTCCTCGATCCATCAGAATTTGGACTTGTTCTCTGAGGGATTTTTGTGCCTCTGCAAACCAAGCATCGAAGTTCCGACCTGCGCGTTCGGGAACTCGTGGCATGCCCGTGAATCTTTGCATTCTCTGGTAATATGACTGGTTGTTGAGAACAGACCAAGGGACCAATATGATATCGGCACGAAGAATATCGCTGATCATCTTTTTTGAAAATTCTGCCCCCGAGGGCAACACCAGGACCTCGTACTTGGTGCCAACGAATTTTGCGATTTCCAACCGCCATTGCTCAAGCACGATCTGGGGCACGAGAACGAGAGTCGCTTTCGTGGGAATGAAGCCCGCCATGGCCTTTGGTATAGTATCATGGCCCCTGCTGTGCTGCACATCGATGAGCCCCAGTGTGATCGCCGTCTTGCCGTATCCTACATCGTCCGCTAAGACACCTCCGCGGACGGCTCTCTGGATCACGACCTTGCCCTCTGCACGCCACATCATGGATGGAAGAATTTCCTCTTCGACCTCCTCCTCAACGAAGGGCGCAATGTCATCCTTTTCTTGTTCTAACATCCATGACAACGACCGCAATTGCTCTGGTCTCAGAATTTTCCGAAAATTTGGCGGCTGGCCATGAGGCGGATCGTTTCTGTTGCTCAGCAAATTGAATTTAGGAAACAGAAATTTTCGTTCATCATGCGCGTTTGGAATAAGACGCCAGTAAAACGAGGCATTGTTTGATCCGGAGCTGCCCAATTTTGCATGAGCTTTATGCAACAGAGTCTGCACGTTTAGGGTGACACGGAGATGTCCGACGTCGTCTTCATCAACATGGCGAAATATCAGGAACGGCGATGGCTTCGCTTTTACCTGACGCTCATACAGAGCTGCATCCCGTGGGTCTTCATATGCTTTGATCCGGCCTTTTTCATCCCGACCCCACAGTATTCGCGGCTTTGGGGGAGTGCACACAGGGCAGGTGGAGCCGGTTTCTGCGTCCACTCGAATATATGTGGTAATTGGGTTCCAATCCTGAAAGCCAGCGAATTCCGAAGACTTCTGAAGCAACCAAGCAAAATCTCGCAGTAGGGATTTTGATTCTGTTGGATTTGTTACTTTCCATGGCCCTTTACACCATAGAGAGTCGATGGCATCAGCTGGTGCGGAGAGGGATAGCAGGGTGATGTTTGCATCGTGGCAGCCAGCATTTTCCATGTAGACTGTTGTCCCTGGCCGCAAGCCAGAACAAGTGACAGAGGAATCTGGGGCATATAGTTCCAGCCTGATGGTCCGAACCTGGGCCCATTTGCGATAATACGCGTTGACCTTTCTCCGAGCACCGCTTGCTGTGGAAGAGCGCCATGTGTGGGACAATTCAGCAATCGTGACTCGGGACTCATAGCCGGGATTACGCCGATGCTCCAAAGCGAATACAAAAGAGTCGTTCTTGGGCTCTCCCAGCTTCGTGGGGTCAAGGAACAAATACACTCCAGGGTCTACATCGGTGGCCTCTTTCTTGTGCAGACACCCGTTTGCAGTGCCACAGTCAGGCAGAAGTTGATAGGTTCCACGGATGTCGACTTCGAGATGCTGACAATCGACGCTGGAACCTTGAACATCGAGTCGATTCCAACGTCTGGAATCAAAAAACCCCTTCTTTTCCAGACCACAACGTGCCTCGTAAGTCAAAACCTGGCTGCCAGTGCCTGAAATAGTCAATGTACACTTTGAACTCAGTGGGGCGCACACCTCCCAGATACCTTCGAGGAGTGTGTCTGGATCCGGCTTCATGCGCGCGATGGGTTTCGATAAGATCTCACGGTGAAGGGATAGGGCAGGCTCCGAATCGAGCGGCTTCGCAAAAAGCAACCACTCAATTGTGGAGGCACTGATTATGAGTTTCAAAAAGGAGCACTTTCCTTCATAGACAGCGGCCCAAACTTCACTGCGTCGGACATCCAAGAAACGGAGTTCATCACCAACAGTTCTGATAACAGCATCCAAGTATTTTTCCCAAACAGGATCGGAGTTCTGAGGCAGGCTTCTATCGAAAGAATGATAGCTTTCGCGATCCAATCCATACATAATCAACCTAGCGGGCAGTATGCTCTTCAGCCTTCTGACGAAATCAGAGGGCTGACTGCGAATCAAATTGGACCACCGTTCGTATGCATGAGATGGATTACCGGCGCAGTCAGAGCAGGCAGTATGCTCACACAAGGTGCACTTCAAGATATCTTGCCTTACACCAGACTGCCTCTCGCATAAGCAGTACCTTGCGCTGCTTGTGGCTTGCATCTGAAGATCTGGGGTTTTGATTGGGCCAACTTGGCTCAGCTGCAAGATCCGCGGCGTCATCTGAAGATCTGGACGGAGGCCGATCGTCTTATGCTTGGGGATAAGATTACTGGCAGTAGATGACTGCATCCCTGGCGGCAGTACTTTATGTCCCACAATAAGGGCGGAGAGCACTGCGGCACCGACGACAGTTGAGCTCATGGCATTCCCGGCGAGATCCTGCAGATCCCGCGATGATTCTCTGGTGAGTAAAAGTCTGTCCAAGGGCAGACCTTGCAGCGCCAGAGACTCAAGCCCACATAGGGGCCCGCCTCTTGTTGTGATATATGGCATACCTGAGGGTGTGATGCAGCCGATAATGCCAAATGCGCGACTATCGATCTCTCGATCAACGCCTTGGGAAAGCTCAATGCATCTCCTGTGACATACATTAGCCGGGTTGCTTATTTTCTCAAGGGGAGGGACCACTACTCTTTGAAGTTCATATCATATCCTTCAATCAGCTTCCGCAAGAAGTTGACATCAATGGTATCCCAGATTCGTTCGGGCAAGAATCTAAACCACGTCTGCCAGGCAAAGTCCGGCGTCTGGCATGCACCGCTATCTTGAAACTTGCTCATGGGCCTTTCAAAGCCAAGTCCCTGAGTCGAACGGTAGTTCTGATGACGAGATTGGTACTTTTTCCAGTCGATGGTGGCTCTTACTGTCGTGGACGTGACTCGAATCGACATGTCTTTCTCGATTTGTTCGAGCCTTGGATCGTTGGCGTCCAATAGGAACATACCTGCTGGGGAGCTCGCAGGACGTCTGAAATCGTTGAGAATCTTTGGCCAATCCATCACGCTCTGTTCAGAAAGGCCGTGCTTGTCCAAGAGGTTTCGGTCGATACAGAGCATGTATCCCCGTTCTCGGGTCTGTGGCAGATAATATGCCTTGGTATCGACGTTGTTGTGGACAGCGACATAATTAATCTCGTTCCAATGTTCTGCAATCTTTTCCCATGGCGCATTTTTGATATTTTCCAGGACGACGATCCGCGGACGGTAGGCTACGGCATAGCGAATGATGCCCCAGAACGTGCCCCCAGACTCGCCCTGTTCATCGAGGGTCTTTCTCTTATTGTTCAAACCAGAGAAGTCGACGCATGAAAATCCCGCGATCACCAAATCAGGATTTTTGGGAATTTTCTCGAGAGAACCATAGGCCGTTTGTCTAAAGGGTGATCAGCACAATCAGTCAAGCTTGACGGAAGAAGCATCTGCTTACGCGAACCGGTCCTTCAGCTGTTCTACATCTCGGAAGAGATAACGGGGATGGAAATTACGCTCAATGTATGCCTGTTTGAAGGGCACAATCTCAGCGCTAAACAGATGATGCAACTCGAAGCTTTTTCCAAAATTTTTCCTGAGGACTGTGTCGAATGTCAGTTGGCAATACCAAGAAGCCAGAAAGGTTATCGCTTACCGTTCTGCACCATTTCCAAAGCAAGCAGAGGACTCTCGGTCCCCGAGCACATGGTGACAACACGCAAAGGCTTCGAGCCCAAGTGAGACAAGACGGCGTCGAAGTTGAGCTCCAGCGCTCTCTTAGTCATGTGTTCGTATATGTCGTCCAGCTTATGCAAAGGAGGAAGGTGAGAAGCAAGTCGAGTCTTTGCTGACATTGGTCCTTGATATGGCTGCGACCTTACTACCTCAGGGATGTCAGGATCAAGCCCGTCCGGAGGCGCGGGGTCCTGGCCCCTCTGTCTGGGACGAGGCATGTTTGCTTCAGAGCAATCGACGTGTTTCTGAAAGGTATTTTTTCTTTAAATGAACTTTGAGTATAGGTACGATGGGGGATAGTAGACAGAATTGATAGGGCACGTGTATGTCACGTGGGTTCATATGTGTCTTGGAGATACAAAGCAAGGCGGTGAGAGGAATGAGGAAGAAGGAGAAAAAGAAGAGGGGGGTGGTGCAATTTGTTTACGTGCGTGGGATCAGAGGGTGAAAGGGTAGTGAATGGTGCTCTGGTGTGAACGTCTGTCGCTATGTCAACAGGACGACTCGCCAACTCCCAGGGAACCTGTATGTAACGACAACTCTCTGCCCCCGGCATTGTCTGCACTGTTTTCTCTACTCAATGAGTGATTTACTTGATAGAGAATCGATTATTGTACTGCAGACTTCGGAAAGACACTGCTAGATACAGGGCTCCTAGTAACAACTAAAAAGACCTAGATTCAACGCCTCATCTCCAGTACTGCAATGTCCTAGTGCGTCCTATCTATGTATTAAAAGGACCAAAAACTAATCCAAGCCGCTCGAAGAGCACTTGGTACTAGAACCATCTTTCAAGTTATCCACTGCCTCAGAGTCACCCGAGACACACGCCTGAAGCGAAGCCATCAGAGGATCCAGCAGCCGACCATCCCGAATCGCCTCGTAGATGATCGATATCCAAGACCCAACTGTCTTCTTGGAACGACCATCAAGCGTATCACTCTGCGCAGTCGGGTGCTCGACGAACCCCTGGTGGAACGGCACGCCAAGCTGTCGCCGGACCGTCTGATACAGGATCTTCGAGCCCGATCCGAGCATTTCTTCCGTGTGCTGGTAGCTGAAGAACGCGTCCGCGGTGTCCTGGTAGATCTCGTTGAGGAGGGCGATGGCGCGGGACTTCCAGGTCTGCAGGTCGGAGAAGGTCGGGGCTTGGCTTGTACTTGCACCTCTGCTTGGACCGTTGCAGGAAGCAAATGTTTGAAACAGGATGGGAAGGGCGTTTGTGACGACTGTTTCGACGCGGTTATTGACGTTGAGGCGGGTTGTGGCCGGCCAGGATTTCTGGATATGTGTTGACAGGGCTTCGTTGAGGGTTGCAAGGTCTGGTTCGGGGAGGTGTTCGGAGAACAGGTGGGAGGTGAGCGTGTGGAGCTGTGGCTTTGAGCGCTGCAGGAAGGTGAGATGGAGGACGCGAAGGTCTAGTGCCTGGCAGCCGATGTAGAGGCTGCAGGCGCACATGAGCGAGACGATTTCCACCGCTTGCATTGTGTATCGGCTCGACACGAAGGCCATGGAGTTGACGGCCTGGTTGTGCATCTCGGCGGTTTGGACGTGGGAGCTGACTGGGTTGGCGAGGTAGGCTAGCTCCGCCATGTAGGAGGCCATGCTGATGTCGACTCCTTTCATGGTGAAGGAGAGGCTGGGGTCATCGGCGACGAGGTTGGTGGGCAGTCCGTTGTTGAGGCTTGGGTCGATGAGCTCTGTGGCCTGGGCGAAGAGGAGCCGGCCGAACATCTGGAGACAGGTTCGGGTCTTTTCCATGGCGGAGGTGATGGAGACGGCCTGGAAGTTGCCGCCGTAGAAGATATCGTCGGATTGCGCGTCCACTAGGGGATTGTCACAGGATGAATTGAGCTCGACGGTGACTTGCCGGTGGGCGAGGAGGAGATCTTCAAGCTGCGGGCCAATCCACTGTGGCACGGTGCGAACTGCGTAGCGGTCCTGTATCAGACCTGGACGGTTGCGGTCTTTCAGGTTCCGCTCCAGGTTCTGTGCGAGCTGCGAACCCTGCAGAAAGGACATTACGTTTCTCGCGCATTCAATTTGCCCGTCGTGCGGACGGATGGCGGAGATGAACGGGTGGAAGCTTTCTGCGTTACCCATGAGGGCTTCCACGGTCACAGCCGATATTGCCTGGACTAGGACAGCGAGTTGATGCGCTTCATACATCGCCAGACTGGCCAGTGCAGCAGAGGCCGAAGTACCATTGACGAGGCCGAGGCCCTCCTTTGGTCCCAGTGTCTGTACCTCGAGGCCCGTGGACAGCAAAGCGTCGCGCGAGTTCATGATACGGGTATTATCTGAATCCTGAACTTGCACATATACATCCGGGCTACCTTCGATGGTTCCCGCGATGTATGAAAGCGGCATCAGGTCACCTGAAGCTGAAATGGAGCCTCTCAGCGGTACGACAGGCGTGATGCGATGCTCGATCAGCCGCAGCAATGACTCGATAACAGGCAATGAAACGGCAGAATGGCCCCGAGCGTTTGAATTGCATCGAACCAGCATTGTACCTCTCACCCACGAGGCAGGCATAGCGTGCGATTCAAGCGACCGCTGCTGAAACTCTAAGCCTTTATCTGATCTAACTAGAACGCCCGCCTGAAGAAGTTGGAGCAGTCCAGACTGCAGTGCAACGACTCGGTCAGTTCGAGAGTCTGCGCTTCCACCAAACCCTGTATTGACACCTATGGATTTCCATTAACATCCTGAACCGGTCAATGCTAGTCAAAAAGGTATAATACCATATACGCAGTAACCCTTGTCCAGATGATCCATCAAAACTCGAACACTTGCTTCGATGCTGTCTCGGACAATAGGGTCCATGGTCATCCTAGATATGCACCCATGGCTGCGGCATCAGATTGTCAGTCTCGGGTTGCAGCAACTAGAAATGTGACAGACTGTACGTACTGTGCCACCGCTACCACGGCCGCTATATCAAGGCTTGTGCCGTTCACCTCGACATCCTGACGTTCCAGCAGCTGCTGTAGCCTTTGCCAGGTCTGACAGGCCGTCTCAAGATGGGCATTGAAATAAGGAGTCTTCATTTTCGATTCTTCAGGCTCAATGATGCATCGGTATTTGCAGTCGAAATCTCAATCTGCACCTTGCAATGATTTCGAAAAGCAAACCAAGTCTCCTATTTATCACTCGATGTGACTCGGGAACCTCTCCCACACCCGCAACCTGAAGCGTCGATGTCTCAGCTGTCCACATCCCCAGAAAAGCAACGAGATCGCCCCATATTGAATAATGGCGCAGATGATCGACTTGAAAAAGTACCATTGCCGCTGCGAGGCCGTTTAGGGCGAAGGTGGTTGGTAACTTGGGTGTGTTTGCTTTTTCTTCTGCGCCATCCCGCGTTCTTCAGCTGTGGATGCTAGGGAAGGTCGCACAACAAGGTTGGTCGAGCGCTGGAGGGTTATTGATTTAGAGTCAAGGTGGCTTTTGATCTATCGATGATCAACGAGGGTCCTGGGATCATCCAAGGCTCGAGAGTTCGTGGTGACCAACCTTGGTTCGTGCAGTGGAGGGAAGCAGCCCCCTGTAAGCTCGCATGTTGCGTCGTTACTGGCTCGAAGGAATCTGCTACGGCCATGCAGCGTGCATCGATCGGATCATGGGATCAAGTGAGATAGATAGGCGCGACGAAAGCAAGATCTGAGAGAGATTCTGACAGGGATTGTGGTGGAGAGAAGTTGGATTGAATGTTGCCGGTGGTTGAGGTTGCATACACTATTTGATCTTAAATTTAGGGCCATAAGCGCCTGGCGAATCGGAACGATATGATTGAAGCTCGAAGTGTGATATCGTTCCTAGCCTTGGGTCCGTGAGAATACAGCAGTCTGTTACGGACAGCACTCTCATCGTCATCTGATTTTGTTTCTGGATAAGTTGCCTTGTTGGCCAGCGAGTCTAGGCAGCATCCATTACATCCAAGATACGCGTGACGCTGATTCCTACAGTGACATCAGGAACACAGACAACATTTCAGCTCATGAGATTGGTATCTGCTACAAGTAACCTCTGCTAGGTATACATTCGCTCTGAAGATATGCAAGTGAATCACAGTAAACCATAAATGAACCATGTGCGCCGTCCCTTTCCCAGTTGACAAGAAAAAAAGTAAAGGAAAATGGCAATAAATGACCAAAATTATTCGCAATAAGAAAGTACACCCGTGGACGGCACTACCTCATGGCTCCTTGCATCAACTGCTGTCGCAAAAGCATGATTTGACTCCGCTCCATGGGTGGCAAAGCATCAATAGCTGACTGTGGCATACTGAGGACTTGCTGTAGAAGGTCTTCTTGCGATGGAACTTGTTGCTGGGGTGCCGCTTGCGTTGCAGGCTGAGGGGCAAAAGGTGTATTGACCATTGGTGGCGTGGAGATCTGGCCAGGTACGGCTGAGAAGGGCTGAAAAGCCTGTGCCACAGGGGGAGCCGAAGGAGCGGCCGCAGCGGTCGGTTGCGTCGCTTGCTCCACCACTGCTCCCAAAGTGCTGTAGTCGACAAGATTCATGAGCAACAGTGCCTGGAAAATGGCATACGCCAGCTGCGGGGCCTGTCGCAGGAGTTCCGTCGCGCGTGCCGGATCAGTCATTACCAAAGACTTCATCTGTGAAAGAACGTCGAGGAGCTGGTTCGGGGGTAAGGAGGAAAGTGTCTGAGAGATAGCGTTTGGACAATCCAAGTGAGGCGGCACCTCGACACCGGGGGGCAGAGGAGGGAGAGGCGCGGATGGCTGCTGACCGGGTTGACCATCCTGACTGGGCATCTGAGATGTCTGAGAGTAGTCAGGAGGCACCGAATCCTTCTCGTTGTTGTGAGGCCAGTCCACGCGGATCTTCCTGCCCATGATCTCATAGTCGTTCAAGTTTCGGACCGCGGAGGCGGCGGCGTCTGCATCGGCGAAGTCTGCGAAGCCGTAGCCTTTTGGCTTCCCTGTCTCCGGGTTCATCATAAGACGGAATTTGGTGACTGTGCCGGCGGAGCTGAGAATGTCTTTGACCTGTTCCTCCGTAAGGTCTGAGATCGACTCGTTAGCGAGACTGGACAGGAGTGCAATGCGGGCGAACGGAAGCGCACATACTATAGGGAATGTTTCCCAGAAAAACACTCTTCCCGGTCCTCTCTGGAGCCATCTTGTTGTGTTTATCGATTCCGAACGAGCTCTATTCTCTGAAGACAAGCTCTGGAGCTGAGCGCGTGACGTGAGTTTCCAAAGATAATGCTAGGATTTGGAGGGCTGGGCGAGCAACAGTAGAGGGCAAGGTAAATTAAATACAAATATGGCGCAAAATTATCAAGAACATCAGCAATTCAACAGCACAAAGATCAAGATGTGGAGTTGATGAATGGAAGTATTGCAACAATGAAGAAAAGCCGCGAGAGGGACCAAACGCTTGTCTTGTTTGAGCTGTCTGGCCAGGCGGTGGCCGAACTTTTGATCGAACCTCAAGTGCCCAGGCTCATCCACACCTCACTTCTCCGACGTCAGCTTCACATCTTCTCAACCACAATCATGGCCCGGAATCCTAAGGAACAGTGGGAGCGGCTCCAGGTAATCCTGCAGAACCGTGCAGGTAAAGGAGGGTTTGGTTTTGGAGGTGGATTTCCTGGAGGAGGAGGTCGCGGCGGCTTCGGATTATCTGGAGCTCTCATCGTGCTCGGTCTTGGTGGATGGGCTTTGTCGAACTCGCTCTTCAACGGTGAGGATGTCTTCTCATGGATAATGCAAAATACAGAAGTGCTGACTTGGCATTCGGCCAACAGTTGATGGTGGTCACCGTGCCATCAAGTACTCGAGAATAGGCGGAGTCAAGAAAGAAATCTACAACGAAGGTACCGACATCATAATTTGAGGCTATTCATACGGCAAAATCATCTCACAAACACTTTCTCCTACTCTAGGAACACATTTCCGAATCCCATGGGTTGAAACACCGGTCATCTACGACGTGCGCGCGAAGCCGCGGAACATCGCTTCCCTCACGGGTACCAAGGACTTGCAGATGGTGAACATCACCTGCCGTGTTCTATCAAGGCCTCGAGTAGATGCCCTTCCTCAGATCTACCGTACCCTCGGCACAGACTTTGATGAGCGTGTCCTTCCGTCCATCGTTAATGAGGTTCTCAAGAGCGTGGTTGCGCAATTCAACGCGAGCCAGCTGATTACACAGCGTGAGAACGTCGCTCGACTCGTTCGGGACAACCTTGCTCGCCGTGCCGCCCGCTTTAACATTGCTCTAGACGATGTGTCTCTTACTGTACGAAACCTTTTTGACTCTTGTGTTTCCCAATTCGTGCTTATCTAACTAACCTGTTTCATTCGACTTTCTAGCATCTGACCTTCTCCCCTGAATTCACCGCCGCCGTCGAAGCCAAGCAAGTGGCTCAGCAGGAGGCCCAACGCGCTGCCTTCCTCGTCGACAAGGCTCGTCAGGAGAAGCAAGCCTTCATTGTCCGTGCCCAGGGTGAGGCCCGCTCTGCTGAGCTTATCGGTGACGCAATCAAGAAGAGCAAGAGCTACATCGAGCTCCGTAAGATCGAAAACGCGAGACAGATTGCTCAGATCCTGCAAGAGAACGGCGGAAAGAACAAGCTGTATCTTGACACCCAGGGTCTGGGTCTCAATGTCAACGCAGGCTCGGACGAATCGAAGTAAATGCAAATGCTTGGGGGCTCTCGGATCAGAATTACTGGCGCTATTACAATCGCTTCGGGCGCGATCTAGGATGTGGAACATGTTATCTGTATAAATAGTTGATCTTCAGGGTTTCAGTACAACCTGGCGAATTGTTTCTCTTCTCTACAACTGTTGCGTCTTCTATGATTGCCTTGAGCTAAACTAGAATTCCTTCGTAGAACCTATCAGGCCTTGACGGAGACGTATAATTCGATAGTTCTAGCACCAAGCACTGATAGCATTAGCTCGAAATCGAGTTCCTCTACAGTCAAACATCTCTTGTGCCGTTCGATGACGCCGTGCCCGGTCTTCTATCAAGGAGTGGATAAGCAGTGCGGGGATGCGATAAAAGCGGCGGGCGGGACTCATTTTTTTCAATATCGGTCTGCACATCTCTCTTTTCCAACAAGAAGAGGAAATTAGCAATTGTTCAGGGTTCAGCCTGCTGTATCCCCCAGAAAACATATAAGTGCGTATTCTTGATCCAGGATCTTTCCGAGTTCAGACCAATTCTTCACCAACCTCGTCAATTTCCATACACCACCCACCGCAACCATACCGCATCTACAATCAGACAAGCGAAGGCAAAGCACTGAATCGAGCAACCTATTAACTCCCACAATACAGACATGGCCGACCCCCTCACAGACCTCGACGTCAATGTCGATCTCGTGGTCCAAGAGATCCTCCTCGCCGCCTCGCAACACGACATCCCCAAGCTCCGCCGCCTCATCCGCTCCAACGACAAAGACGGCAACCCGGCCAACGTGAAAGACCCCGAGACAGGATTCTCGCCTCTCCACGCGGCGATTGCAGCGTGCGAGCCCGACGAGGCACAGACAGAGACAAATGGCGTCAATGGACAGACGAACAGCGCCGGCACGGAGCAGAAGAGTATCGTGCAGTCCGGCGCGGAGACGGTCAAGTTCCTGCTGCAGGAGGGCGCGATCTGGAATGATCTGGACCTGAACTATGAGACGCCGGGGTGTATCGCGCGGCGGCTGGGGTTGACCGAGCTGTATGAGATGATTGTGGACGCGGGTGTGCGGGCGGAGCTGCTTCTCAACCGGTTGGATGGGTACGAGCAGCTCTCTGACGAGGAAGACGAGGAAGAAACGGGACAAGACGAGGGGGCCGCCAACGCACCGGCTACGGAAGAGGATCAGGCTCCCGAGTTAGTCGAGACGGCCACGGCCGAGCCAAGCATCGGAGGACCGGACGTCACGAGCTCCCGCTACCTCGATTCGAACCTCACCTTCACAAACGACCGACTCCTCGACCAGGACCAGAACGGCGTCATGATGGCCTGGGAGACGGAGATCATGTCCAAATCCGCCAAGAAGCTGCTCCCCACTACGGGACTGCGCGTCATGAACATCGGCCACGGCATGGGCATCGTCGACGGCTTCATCCAGGAACAGTCACCCGCGGCGCACCACATCGTCGAAGCACACCCGGACGTCGTGGCGGAGATGAAGCGGAAAGGCTGGCACGAGAAGCCCGGCGTTGTGATCCACGAGGGTCGATGGCAGGATATCCTGCCTGTGCTGGTGGCGCAGGGCGAGACCTTTGATGCGATCTACTACGACACCTTTGCCGAGTCGTATGCTGACTTCCGGGAGTTCTTCAGCGAGCAGGTTATTGGATTGCTGGAGCAGGAGGGCAAATGGGGGTTCTTCAATGGCATGGGGGCCGATCGGCAAATTAGCTATGATGTCTATCAGAAAGTGGTAGAGATGGATCTCTTTGAAGCCGGGTTTGATGTAGAGTGGGAAGAGATCAAGGTGCCCAAGCTCGAGGGAGAATGGACTGGTGTCCGCAGACCGTACTGGGTCGTTGACAATTACCGCCTGCCCTTGTGTAAGTTTATGGATTAAGTGATATACCCTTGGATAAATGATAGACGGATATGACAGATTAGTTGGATATTTCAATGTCTTCTACTGCGCTGGTTTTCTTCCTTAGCAACAAGACTACATACGGGCTTTCATATGCCCGGGCACCTCAGACGAGATCGCTTGTTTTATATTGCGAGCTACGTGTTGGCGCCACAGTCGTCGCCCGCTTATATATTACATAGGAGTAGACTATAATGAGGCAAGTGGTCTCGGCAACAGAAGGAATGATCTCGTAGCGACTATGTACACTCTAACATCATCTAGTTACATGTGATTGACCAAGTCCGGGCATGGCATCTTAGCATACAAGTAGAAATTCTGTGGTGATGAATGCGCATCGCTAATTCAAAAGGGAAGAGGACATTCGTAAAAGCAAAAGAAAGGGACGGGTTGAAGGAGGATCGCCGCCCATAGAAGACTCCGATGTAAACTCGCTTGAGGACAGGAAATAGGAGAAGCAAGAGGTATCTATAACTGAATGAGATCAACCTCTGAGAAATCTGGTGGACTGCGGCTGAAGATGGTGCGGCACTTGCCGTCGAGTGCCTGGTACTCGTTACTGATCCAGATGTGCTTGCTGAACCGCTGAGTTCTGTACACCTCATCATCGCTTACCCCAAGGTCATCTCGCGGAATCCATATCACGGGACGTTTTGCCCGTAGAGCGTCATGTTGAAACGCTCGCTGAGTCAGTTGATCACGCTCATCTGGTGTAAGATCCTCCAATTCATCATGGATACCGGCAAACAATGCGTGCCCGACGTTACCGGTAGGAGGGCCTTGGGCTTCGGCGTCATGCGCGATCTTCTCACGGACCCGCTGCAAGGTCGGCACTGAACCGCTCGAATGAGTCCCAAAATATTTAGAACGTGTTTTTGAAGACCGATCTGCCCACGAATGATGGCGGCTGGTCTGGAGACTGCCCGGCTGAGCCGATGCGCGCCGCCCAGAAGCCGCTTCGATGTTCTTCAGCTCAATCTCGTGGGCCCTCCTATCTGCTTCGTGCTCTTGATGTTCCCGCTCTGCCAGCTGGTGCTCGAGTGTGCCTGCCTGATCTTCCTCAGGAAAGCCAAGTCTTGCACGCTGAGCGCGGCTGAACTCCTCATCACGACGAACAGCATCATCCTCCAGGGTAATCGGCAAGTAACGGATTAGGGGGCCAAAAGCTTCGTTCAGAAGAATCTGGTATCCGATTGTGAGAATCAGAACCACAATCATGCAAATTGCTTGCCCTTCACACGCAACGTTGCCGTCCACATCACGGACCAAGAAGAACAGCCCGATCAAGCTGAGTTCCATGACGTATATGCCCGTGAAGAGCTGATTGATAGCGCGAGGGAATATAAGTCCGCCAGTATCAAAGCGGAATTTGGTGACGTACAGCGTGTTATATCTGTACACGAACCAGAACAGACCAAAGGTGATGACATTGAAGACCAAGATCAAGGGGGAAATCACACAATAGATCAAACCTGCATTTCGAGCATTAGCTACATCAAATGTAGTTCCTGTGGGGTAAGACATACCAATTGATGCTAGAGTAGTATAGACCGGAAAGAATGTTCCCCATTGCATCTGATTCAAGTTTGTCGTGCGTCCCCATTTCTTTCTTGCCGTGTTATCCAGTAAGGGTGCCAGAATAAACCAGCTTATCAGGCCAAAGATCTGCACTAAAGCTCCCGCACTCACTGACAGCGCCTGTAGAATCATATACGAGAAGAAATAGTTGCTCGAGGAGGGGATATTTTGGGCCAGTAATTCTGGCCAGCTGGTGACGTTTGTGACATTATCGATGATCGTCGAGAAACTGGACGAGATGGCAACGACCAGGAACAACTGGACGAATAGGAAAGCAAAGTAGTAGTTCTGAACGGTAAGTTCGATGGCCATGCCTGTGTGTAACCCCTGAGTTCGACTGAGGAATCGAAGAATCAGGGGCAGGAGCGCCATCAAGATGGCTAAGAAAAGTGGGGGCAAGATACCCTGGATGGCAGAGATGAGCCAGTCCGGCAGCTTGGAGAGCCAAGACAACCATGTGAAGGCATTTTCCAGGTAAGACAATTGAGACAGCAAACCGGTAAACGCGACGGGGAACGCCCAGCCAACCACCATGGCGCAGACGACTGTGAGAATCCCGAATGTCCTCAGATAGCGCTCCCACCATTTGATTGACATATTGTCCCAAATCACATCGTCTGGCGAGATCTCCACGATGCGAGGGGCCATTTGTTTTGGCAGGTGATGACTGACAGCCTGGCAAGCCATATGAGCAGCCACCTGGTGGTTGAACTGTATAAACGCTGAGTTCATGAGGGGGAATTTCTCGGGGTGTTGCTGGTCAATTTCAATCTCTAGATTCAAGCGAGCGACTTCCTTCCGGCAATGGTCTATGGTGTCAACCTTTTTGCCAATGAGCCAGAGGGAAGGCATCCAACTGAGACCAAAGATGGGCAACCTCATGGTGTCACGATCCTTTTCCCGGATGTACTTTTTCCATAGCGGCTCCCCATAGTCTTCCTTGTCAAAGTCTTCATTGTATGCCACCGGATATTCCTCACCTTCGACTTCGTCACCTTCTCTCCGACGTTTGTGCTCCTTGTCTTTTTGCTTTTCATCATTGTGTGATCTTTCTTCGTCTGGAGCTTCTCCTTCGACCGGATCTTCTGGGGCCGTCAGTGGAAATTCATCCGGTTCTGTCTTGTTGCTCGTTTTCGAATAATTGCTAGACACTCGACTTTTCCAGAAGGGCCGTTTTGGCTTGGAGCTCGACCTGCTGCGAGGAGCGTCGGATGGTGCGCCATTCTCATTTATGTACGCGGCATTTCCATTATCAATTGATGGGGTGATGCCATCGTTGCTTGGTCGCCAAGGACCGGGCAGCTCTGCGCTGTTGGGTTCGGCTTCGGGTGCATTATCTTGGAAAGGTGCGGTGGCCCCAGCTTCTGATACATAGCCCCCTGACCGAGTCAGAGTGTTATCGATGTCGCCCTCCACCCTTTTTAGAGTTCCAAGAACGGATCTACCCAACTTGCCCACACCTTGACCGACTATTCCTACCGCTTCCACCGCTGGGTCGAAGGG